AGCAAGATTTTTGTCTGTGTTCTGTGTGGAATCTCCTCAATGCACAACTTGGACATTTTAATCAAAACTCAGCTATTTATGTTATCATGTTAGTAATCCACTCAGTTATTTTGTTAAGGGTGTTGTCGTGATGCAAAAGGTGTAGAACCTCTATTAAGAATCTTCGCCATTTAATGTTGCACTGAAAATATTTACCCCTCTACCTCTGCACTGTCAGAATTTGTTTTTGAGCTGATGAAAAATACAGTATATGGTGACTTTTGATATACCCATTAGTTTGTGTTTTGTGTTTAATTTAAAAATATTGCTCATATATTTTTATAATGTTTCCATATAATTCACATGTATTTACAATGTATTGTATCATATTAATTAAACGTATCTGTATATAGTTGTGACATATATTCCCATATAATATTTATACATTGTATCATATATTGATCATATATCTTTACATATATCACTAATATATTGTCCAATATAAATTGCAATATATGATTAGTTATTTATAAATACAAAATTACATATATTTTGTACTATATAAATGCATATATTGTAAGTTATTTCGCAATATATTGCAATATATGAAAAGCGGCAATCATTTGTATATTTTGCAATATATTGCACTATATAACAATATATTATGGCCAATATATAATATATTGTAAAATATATGTATTGACAATATATTAAAATATATTAAAATATATTACAGTTAATATATTGAAAATATATTTTCCTTTCGTAAGGGATGGATTGAACACACATCTCACCGTCAGGACTAACAAATCAATGATTGCTATTTTAATCCGTAAAGCGCTTTGGGTGCCAATTTCTGGGTGAGAAGCTCTCAATAGATAATGTTTTGATTGACTGATTGTTCCCAGAATGTTTCCTCTCGGCCCGTCACGTTCTGATGAACTGCCATATGTTTCTCACATTTTGTCAATGTTTTCTATCAACAAAATGTGTGCGCTGGGCAGCTTTGGAGAATAACTGCGGCCCGGGCGGAGTCCGATGAAGCTCCACTGCCGAGCCTGGCTCCAGAATCGGCGACCGTGAGGATGGACACACATTCCGATTTGTGGCTGTTATTCCCCTTGAAAAGTACAGTAGGCTATTCCACTCCACCTCAGGGCGCTTGATTTTATTAAGCAGTAGTCATGGATGGGTGGTTAAATGGAAAACGCTCAGCTTTTATTTCAATTGCAACTTGTTTAGTTTGATTAGTTTTGTACACTTCTGTTATGATTATTTGGAAACATTCGTTTTTATTTCACTTATGAATATAATTACCATTTTTTTTTCAATTTTAGGTTTATGACCGGCCCATGCAAACGGGTCTGAATGGTTCCCAGCTTAAGGCCGTGTCTCAGTGAGCATGATTGCAAGTGATTTCATGCGTAGCCAAGGTCTTTTTATTGTTTTTCTTGTCACAAAGACATTTTGAAGATGTTGAAAATGTGATGGCATCAAGAAAAACAGTCTGCGACCAATAAAGCAGTTTGTAAACGTCTGGCAAAGACCTTTGCAATTTTTGTAACTTTTAACAAATCAAAATGAAAAACAGCAATTGCTACGTTTGCAAACACTGAGTGATACCACCTCAAACAGTCTGGTCAAGAAATGGAGACAGCATTCAGAAGCAGAGACAAAACAGCTACAAGAGGGTGAAAAAGCGCTTTAGCAGAGAGGTGAGACATGCCAAAATTGAGTATTCAGGGAAGGATTCCAGCAGCAATTCATGGCTAATAACTCTCTGACTGCTTACCACCTACAAGACTAATCCCCCCACAAGGTGTGAACGACCTGGCCTTTGCCCTGAACACCATCCTACGTAAACATCCCCACATCCCCCAACAGCATCATCAGCCCAACTCGGGAACGACCTCCAAGCGGCGTTGAGCGTGCCTTCGGGCTACGAACAGTTCCCAGTCGACAGCCGACAACTGGGTCTGCAGGTACTCGGGTCGCTGTGGCTTTAGGAGCCGCTATGGGACCCAGTTGGAGGTTGCTCAACAGCAGCGGCAACAGCAACAGCGTCATGATGAGAAGGAGCGTCAGCGCAGAGCGCCGATGCGTATGTGGAACTGGGAGTCGCGACTTGGAATTGAAGCGGATTTACATGGGACAGGAGAAGAGAGCCAATATCTCTTTTTCGTTAATGGATGCTACAGCTTCTTGTTGCTTTCAAGCTTAGCTTGAAGCAGATGTGTGCACATTGCAGCATGATGTCTTTGATCCACTGGTGAAAAGGACACTTTGATTCGCTCCTCTTTCATCTATAACTGCTTCAGACAACAAAGTGTATGCAGGAAAGTGGTTAAGATTGCACGATTGTCTGTGTCTCGTGTCATTTTTTAACTTTCTTTTGATGGCGGCGCGGACACCCGCAGCGGCTCCTCTTGTTTTATGTTGTCTTGAGAGGGAAGAAATTTCATCTGTGCTGCACATACAGCACATTTGACAATAAAGTTGAATCCAATCCAATCCAATCCTAGTCTCCAATGACCCCCTTCCATTACGCCCGCCCAGTCACTCTACGAGCAGAATGTGCACACAATATTTAGATGGCTGCACCCCCATGGAGATCCCAGACCGGACAGTGTCTCCCTGTACACTTTTAAGGCACTTTGCAGATGAGCTGGCTCCCAACACCTCACTGGAGTCATGCCATGTGCCAGCTTGCTTGAAGTCCTCCACTATTGTCCATGTTCTCCAAAGAAGTCAAGCATTACCGGTGAAGTCTATATTCTGCTCATATTTAGTTTGTGATTACAGATCTTTGGCGCTGACGTCTGTAGTCATGAAGTCCTTTGCGTGGCTGGTCCCCCACCTCAAATAAATCACCCCTCCTCTCCTGGACCCATTGCTGTTTGCCTACAGATCTAACAGGTCAACAGTTAACCTGGCGCACCACTCCATACCGCAACATCTAGACTCCCTGGAAAATTGTTTGTGGACTTCAGTTCCATTCAGCTCCATTCTCTCAGCTCAACTCCAGGAGAAGCTTTCTTAGCTCAATGTACCCGACTCTCTCTACAGGTAATTCACAGACTCCCTGATGTACCGGAAGCAACTTGTGCAGATGGGGAAGACTGTCTCGGACACAAGGACCATGAGCACCGGAGCCCCTCAGGACTGTGTAATTCCCCCGCTGTCTCTTCTTGCAAAACACCAACTGCTGCACCTCCAGCCATTCGTCAGTAAAACCGATCAAGTCTGTGGACGACACCACCTTCGTCAGACTCAATAACCTGCGGCTTAATTCTCTCAGAAAACAAAGTGGACTTCAGGAAGGTCACAGACCCACGGTGCTCCCTCACCCTCACAGACTCCTCCATCTTCTTCCACTTTATGGGCACCGCCATCACCCAGGAAGTCAAGTGGCAGCGACCATCAGCCATTTGATCAAAAATGGCCAGCAGAGGATTTTCTTCCTGCGGCAGTTGAACAAACTTAAGCTGCCAACCAAGATGTTGGTGGAGTTCTACTCGGTCAACAGAGTCTATCCTCACCTCCTCCATCACCTTGTATTAGGATGGTAGTGCTGTCAGGAAAAGGTACAGACTGCAGATAGTTAGAAGGCTATCGGCTGTATCCATTCAGGACCTGGACCTCTCCAGGACCCTGAAGTTGGATGACTGCTCACCCAATTCACCCTGGACACAGCCTGTTCCACACACTCCCCTCATGCAGGAGGCTCCATTTGGACCAAAACCTCTTGCCACAGGAACTGGTTCTTGCTCTCTCATGAAACATCTGCACCTGATGTCTATTGCACCTTGTTCATTTTCTACTTGTCTTAAGTTTGTGTATGCTTTGTTTTTATTATTGCCATTTATGTTTCTTATTGAATCATCGGACCAAACAAAAACAAAAAAAAAAACAAAAAATGTTGTTATGAATGTACGTTTCACTGGCAATGGCAAAAAAAACAGAAATTGTGATTGTGACGTGTTAGGAAAACATTGTATTATGTATGTTTTAAATGGTATCATTTTCCATGCCATGACAGTTGTTTCTGTGTCAATACATATTTTTTCAATGTCAATATGTACAGTATGCATGTGTGTAATTTAATAGCTGTGATCAGGCTCCATGACTATGCTTTTTTTTTTGTTTGTGTCTGTGGACAGTGTGATTGATTGTACTTGTGCAATATTATATGAAGTGAGTTCCACATCCATCCACACAATCTGCCAAGCTGGCTCTCACCTTCCAAGTTCTTTCTGTAGTTCTTGCATGTGGATGTGACACTGCTTATAATAAGTTGCTTGGGCCTCGACGAACTCATGCAGGCAGCGGAGGTGATTCACCTGAAGTGAAATTACAAGAGTCACACGCAAACCCGTTAAATTATGTGTTCGCCCGATTGTTGTTGTTTTTCAAACTCATTTATTCAGGAGCATAAAATTAATTTGGGAATAATTTAATAATACACATGTATAAAGTGTGTGGTATTTTGACCGTGGTAAAGTCAAAATAGATCATTGCATTTGTGCCGTTAATGTCTGAAATGAAAAAAAAAAAGGGTGGCTCACATACGTGTGTGCTGCTGATACCCTCCAAAAGAAGCCGTGTGACCTCTGCCTGTCGGTCAAATTCAGATTGGGCAACCCTGAGTTCAAGTTCAATCTGAAACAACAAAAACAACATTGAAGTGATGACATTGAGTTAAAAAAAAGGCAAGATTTAAACCTAGAACCTTGACTGAGGATAAGACTACAGATGATTTTATTTCATCTTCTAAGTGCTAAAATTATTCGAGGTGTGAGATGAAGATGAGAGGGGTTCTTTTCTTAATCAGGTGTACAATTAAAAAAATAGTTACACTTACTTTTTCAACTTCTTCACTCCAAAGCTGAAAGGTACAAGCATATGACAGAACAAAATACAGAATTTAGAAATAATCACAGTAAAAGGTTGATTAATCTGTTGAAAAAAAAAAGTTCCATATATGTTTGCATTATAGAGTGGGGGGCACATTGGGGCTAGGTCGCTGATATGGTGATGCAAAAAGATTTTGTAACGGCATCACTTCCATTTCCTCTTTTAATTTCATTGGACAAAAATCAAACCAAGAGTTGATTTTTATTTATTTATTTTTTTTTTACTTTTCCCTCTTTAATGAGCACTACAACATGTCCAACCGTCCAACCATCCATCCATCTATTTTCTGATCTGCTTTTAGCCTCACAAGGGTTGCGGGGTGTGCTGGAGCCTATCCCAGTTTAAGTTTGTTTGTTTTTTTTTAATTGGGCATACATTTGGTTCAACAGTAGTTTTGACAGTTTAAAAGGAAAAAGGGTTGCGGGCATGCTGGAGCCTAACCCAGCTGTCTTCGGGCAGTAGGCAGGGGACACCCTGAACAGGTTGCCAGCCAATTGCAGGGCACACAGAGACGAACAACCATCCGCGCTCACACTCATACCAAGGGACAATTTGGAGTGTTCAATCACCCTGCCATGCATGTTTTTGGAATGTAGGAGGAAACCGGAGTACCTGGAGAAAACCCACGCAGGCCCGGGGAGAACATGCAAACTCCACACTGGGAGGCCGGACCTTGAATTGAACCACTGGCCCACCGGGCCACTCGCCACGACAACTTGTTTGAAATAGAAACATATTTTTGGGAAGACAGTACAAATGCAAACCTAGAATAATGTGGTTACATAGTGTGTAGACCTCCTAACTGGAGATGATGTGTCCAGCCTTGACTATTCACATTCAAACCCCTGTTAAACATCGTTCAGTATATTCCCGTCAGTTAAGCTTATTCACCCCGTAAAAAGCAGCCCAGTGGTCGAGTGGTGAGCGCATCGACCTCACAGTGCAGAGGTGCAGGGTTCGATTCTGGCTCCGGCATCCCTGTGTAGAGTTTGCATGCTCTCCCTGGGCCTGCGTGGGTTTTCTCTGGGTACTCCAGTTTCCTCCCACATTCCAAAAACATGGATGGCAGGCTGACTGAACACTCTAAATTATCCCTAAGTGTGAGTGTGAGCGTGGATGGTTGTTCGTCTGTGTGTGCCCTGCGATTGGCTGGCAACCGGTTCAGGGGGTACCCCGCCTACTGCCCGAAGACAGCTGGGACAGGCTCCAGCACTCCGCCGCGACCCTTGTTAGGATAAAGCGGAAATGAATGAATGAATGAACCCCCTAAAAAGTCCACAAGTAGTCCGCGGACTGGTGCCAAGTAGACCGTGAGTGGGGTTGGGGTAAATGAGAAAGAAAAAAAAAATTGTGCATGTCATTCATAATATATATTTTTTTGCTAGTGTACATTGCACCCAAAGCATCCTATCACTGTTACTTCACAAAAAATAAATAATAAAAAAAGCAGGTAAAAAAAAAACTTGCTTGCTCGACCTGTTGTGAAAAGCGCTATACTGTACCTAAAACATGATGTATTGTATGTGAAGCCATTTGGGATGTTTTTGTGATTAAGGGATATATAGATACATTTGACTTGACTTTGACATGTGTCCCATGAATGTAAATACAGCCATATTAAACATGAGTTACTTGAAAAATACATTTAAATAGGCAGGCAAAAATAACCTGATATAGACATGCATCGGAATTTGGCACTTGATTCTTTCGTGTAAATCCATTTTAGTTGTATCATACAGAAAAAGCCATTTTCCAAAGAGAGCTTTTTAAGTTTCAAAGAGATCTATCTCATCAATCAGAAGAAGTGAAGAAAATCATTTGCAAGGCATTAGCTATACGATGGAACACAGTCATTGTCAAATGGCATTGAAACCCAGTTGGAACTAGAACCACACTCGAAGAGGAGTGAATTATGCAGTTCCCAGTGTAGTTTGGAAAACATCCAGCTTGCAGCAGTCAAAGTTCAGATTAGTTTTAGGGTGTTCACTTTTGTGCATGAACCTTACTGAGAGCACCTGAAAAAAAAAAAATTGAAAGATGAGGCCTTATGATATCCTATGATTGAGGTAGCATGCCAACAGCAAACATCTTTAAAGTTTGGGTGATTGGGGAAAAATGAACATGTCCTGATTTAGCGTTCAACATCGCAAGTGTCTTTCCGTCACTACAATACTGAATGGAGTATTTAATAAGGGTACAAGAATGATACAATGGGTGCCTAAAAATACAGATAGCCTGTACAAAGCAGTCCCACCTCCCCACTCATATGAGTTATAGCATGATAACCCAAAATAAGAATTTACAGTTGGTTTTAGTAAAGGAGACTCTTACAGCAGAGGCACTGGCAGAGAGCACATAGTTCCGTGGTCTGGTCTCCTGAAAATCTGGAGCCACCTTTATCAGACAAAGAAACAGATTTCATTTTCACATACATTTTCGAAATTTTCAATACAGTTGTTTTTTTTTTTCTCGTATTATGTTTCAAGAACTGTAAACATCCAATAGAGCAACACAGTAACTCGGCCCACTCTGGAAATATGCACGGAACAAAACCATTTTGATTTTATCTAGTCAGCAAAATAGCAGTGGTTTGACATGCAAAAGCTCACCCTCCTAAATGAAAAACAGATTTTCGTCTTTTGAAAAACAATGGAGCATTTCCAATTAAAAAAAACAATGTGATTAAAAAAAAAACCTGAGTTGAAATCTACAGTGAACTCTAAATAACCAGTGGATGTATTGGAGAATAATAATTCCAAAAATTAGTAGTGACAATGAAAGCATAAAATATATGCTACAACAGGAAACTATTTGGACTGATTTTGCTTGACATTTGTCTACGTACAGGTACGACTCAATGAATTACAATATAATGGACAACTCATTTTATTTTCAAGTCGTTCATTTCAAAAAGTGATATTCACATTACAGTCGAATGCCCAACTACTGAAAGTGAGTTTTCAAAGAGAATGTAACTTTGATTGGTAAGCTGTACTTGTACTCATGTTAAAATACAAGCACATGCTTTTGTTTTTACTGTACGTACACAGTATAATGCACAGTATCACAAAGAATGAAGACTTTAAATAGTGAAACGACAAAATTCGAATTGTATGAGCATTCATACGAGCAGTGATTTGTTTCTGAACTGGGGCTTAAAAAACAAACACACAAACAAACACGTATGCTGTAAGTCAAAGCAGAAAATTAAGCAACGTGGTCTATTCCTGTTCAAGATTCCAACTTCAGTTTAAGTTTTTTTTTTTTTTTTTTGTGGTAGTCTTTGATTTGCTTTGATTTACCCCATTCTGTTAATGATCATTCACTAAAATATAATGGAAGCAAATGTGGCAAAAATGATTATAAGTACCGTACACAGTATTCTGAAGAAATGCGTTGAATACTCACATCACCCTCGCACTGCCAAGGTTATGAATACACAGCAAGTGAAATATGGGATTACTAGAATCATCATTAATCATCAGTCATTACAGAGATTGCAATGTGGTTAACTCACGGCAGCCTTTGCCTCCGCCGCTTTGGCTTTCTTCAAACGTGCTTTAGCAGCATCCAAATCAAGACGAAGATTCTCTAATAGACGTCGTTCTTTCTGCACAGTGATATGGTCAGAGTTTAATTAAAGCTCCCTTTTTGTATTCACCCACCCACCCACACACACACACACACACACACTGGACCCTAAGGATGGTTTGGATGCGGCAAAGACAGCCGTGTTGCAGTTTAGTGAGTACACACAAGCACACACACACACACACACCCACACACACACACCACAAAATGTGACATCGCACAATTTCTGAAATGCTCTGGATTAAAAAAAAAAAAAAATGAACACTCTAAATTTTCCCTCGGTGTGATGATGAGTGTGAATGGTTGTTTGGTTGTGTGCCCTGTAATTGGCTGGCAAACAGTTCCCGCCTGCTACTCAAAGATGGCTAGGATAGGCTCCGGCACGCCCGCAACCCTCGTGAGGATAAGAGGTTCAGATAATGGATGGCTGGAAATTGAAGCAGTTTATTCCTCAATTTCTTTGAGATTGGCAGCTGATACAAAGTTTTTGTGTGCAGTGCATTATCTTCCTCAGTCATTTTGCCTGCGTTGAGTGGCCGTGTGGCAACCATGGAATGGGCACGTACTTGAATAATGAGGCATGATCCTACATCAGAGTGGTGCTAAATTCAAATGTGAGGATTTTGCAAACCTTTTGCCGTTTGTCAGCGATCGCATCCAATTCGCCAATTCGCTAATCGTATGGATTTCAACCTTAAAATAGGTCACAGAGTCATTTTTACATATGCTATGCATAAAACAGTAGAAAAAGTTTGGGATTATGATGGATTGTCACAGATATAAAATTCCAGAGTTGCTGAAAAGCACTACAACACACAATATAAAAAACTTCAATTAGAGTCCAGATTGACTGTCTGGTAACCAGCATTTAAAGTACACTGTAGGCCAATGGCGACGTTTCTTTGCAAACGGATTCATAAGAGTTTGACAGCAGTTGTAATACTGTCATATGATAAACGTATGCCATAATTTCATCCCCGCGATGTGTGTAATTGAAATTATGACAATAATAATAGTCTGGGGCTAGTTCAACATGGTTACTCATTTGGTTTCATTCCAAGAAAGAGGCAGGATTATTAATGCTTTGGACAGGAAAACTGACCCAAGACAATAAATAAAGTAAATAGTGGCATAAGCAGTGAGGTATTGCACTCACTGTAATAGTCCTCCAATCTCCTTCCAGAAAGTTCCTGAGGGGTGTAAGAAAACTAATGGCTGATGTATGAAGGAACTCTCTCTCCATTGCTCCTAATCTTCTCTCACACTCTCCGACCTTGATTAAACTACTTCCTGCAAGGAAACAGAAATGGGTTATGAGTACAATTGTTGCACTTATCTACTTTCAAGACAGTGAAAGTGCTTTTACAGTCTGGTCTCGCTCTTATCACAAAATAATAGAGAAGTGTACTGACATGAAGGGAGAAGAATCTCATTAACACACAGACTTATTAAAGATACATGACCGCTGGTAAATCTTTCAATTTTCTAATTACTAAAGCAAAGGCCCCTGAATGTTGAATTGGAAAAATTCTACTTTACATTCACCTTATAGTCAGAGGTTAGTTTGTTCTTCAAAAAAGTTATGCCCAAAAATAACAAAACACCACAACTGTTTTTCATGATATGCTGCTGAGGGTTACATATGTTCCAAGCAATAACCCATTACATTTTGATGAAATGAAAAATGATGTGGGAACACCTTGGAATCACCTCAGAGGAGCTGGTTGAAAGTGGCTAGGGAGAAGGAAGAGTCTGGGCTTCTCTGATAAAGCCACCGTCCTCGCGACCAGACCACAGATAAGCAGAAGAAAATGGATGAATTAACGGATGGAAGGATGGATGAATGGATGGACAGAAAGAAGGAAGAAAAGAAGGAAGGATGTTCCCAATGCAACATGCCTTTATAGCCATTTTTTGGTTAGTTGCTGCTATCTTTAGACCAAATGTGATAGGACATTTAAAACTTTCAGTCAGTAGCTCCAGGTATGTTAAAGATAGATTCAAGACACATTGTTCAGACTCTGACTACTTAGTGTATGGCTTATTAATTACTCACTAAATTAATTACCGTATTTTACGGATTATAAATCGCAGTTTGTTTGTTTTTTTGTAGTTTGGCCGGGAGTGTGACCTATCATGATTAACACATTACAGTATATCATTTCACGTTATTTTCACATTAAACAGCAAGAGGGTGCCTGTGTTGTTGCTTTCCACATTGGCGGTAACTAATAAAAACAACTGACAATGACGCTGACGTAAGCGACGTAGAAGAGGAAGCGCCGCATCTACTCCCTGAGGAGTTTGCGGAGTTCTTTAAAAGTGACACAGAGGATGACGATTTGGCAGTCTCCGTGCCAGAACCAGCAGGCTCAAAAACAGTTTCTTCCACAAGGCGGTCAGGAGACTCAACTCCCTCCCTGCTCTTCCCGCAGTCCCCGCCCTCTGCCTCTGCCCGACCCCTGCATCCTGTCACAGACTATGACCCTCCCCTCATCATCCGACATCTGCGTATTGCACAACGCACTACCTCACTTTACCCACAATAGCCACAAGTGCCATTGTTTATGTTGTTTATATTGTTTATATTGTCTATACTGTTTATACTGTTCACATTACATTACATTAGCTGCTATCTTGTCTTAGCTGTGTGTTTGCATGTTTGCACCGAGGATTGAGAGGAAGAAATTTCATCTATTCTGCATGTCATACATAAAGCATATTTGACAATAAAGATGACCTTGACCTTGATTTCATTGGATTTAGTGATTTGGAGTGACACTGATGGTTTGGTCAACTGTTAGCATGTTCTTTCTCTTATAGTTATCTGAATAACTCTTCATATGTTACGTGAACATACCAGGCACGTTCTTAGTTCGTTGTTTAAGCGTCATTTAACGTTAGCATATCATAAACTTATTCAGGCTGTTATTCTCTATTTTATTTTTTCATTTTAAGTTTCCTATCAAGATGACGTGTCTGTTCTTGGTGTGGGATGTTATCAAATAAATTTCCCCCCAAAATGCGACTTATACTCCAGTGTGGCTTATATATGTTTTTTTTCTTCTTTATTATGCATTTTATGATGCCCGATGCGATTTATACTCCGGACCGACAAGTAGTCCAGAAAATACGGTAGCCAATGGATTTAACGTGGCTAACGCTTTTTTGCTAAACACTTACCATATGGAGTGTCAGGACCAAATTCGTGAGCAGCATCTTGCATATATTGACCTAGAAGTTCCCCATTGGTATCTCTGGATGGTACCTTTTTGTCCAACTTTTCGTAGAGAAACTCTTCAATTCTAGCACCTGCAAAAAATGAACGGGTCAATTGATGGCAATAACGACATGCATAGATGCTATATTGAAACTCCAGTGGTGTTGCCCCTCCAACACTACCTGACCATATGACATGTAACACAAGCTACATACACTGCACTTGGCAATACCGCAGGTTTCTGGGAGACTGCGAGCACAACTGCCCGCAGCTTCACCCAAGGGGGCAAGAAACAGAACACCCTTCTTCCTTTCATTTAACAGAACTGTATACATTTCCAAAGAAAACACATGCTCATCACGAGTTTAGTAGGTCCCGGGAGACATTTGCCGACACCCCACTGACTTTGCCCCAACAACTCATCCCACGGAAAAACACTCTTCTCCCTATACTCAGAAGAAATGCTACATTTCAACAGGACGGATGCTGATCATGCGGATTAATACGTTATCAGAGACCAAACGCCACTGCTGTCCACACGTGCATTGGAATCTTGTGGGTCAATCTCGCAGCACTGATGACAGCAGCCCTTGATGTAAATTTGGAAGGGAGTCACTCTCCGACTGACTTTTTCCTCAACTTTACAGGAGCATTGGGTGGAGTAAGTGTGACCACTAGTGGCGAGCGTGGAGATGAACAGCCACATGAGAGCACCCACTGTTTGTCCAGTTGCACAAAATACTGTGTGTGTCTGACATGCTTCCGTGTGGTTTGTCAAATGGATTTTTGCTGTTTACATAATACGATGGGATAGAATAACTGATGAAGCCATAATTATCAGACAGTTCAGGACACTTTAGAAGATAACTCCATGATCGCATCAGTGACACTACAGCATGATAGGTGTTAAAGAGATAGCACAATATGAACGGCTAATGGGGAATTTGCAAAGCCCTCTCTACCAAACGTTCTCAAAAATTGGTGGGAATCATAGAGTAACTCACAATATGATATTATAGGACAAAATCTTGCCAATGTTATAACATCACACTACAGTGATACGCAATAATTTGTACATTGTGGGACAAATCATCATACACTGTGGTATTTATGAAACAGATGAAGGCAAAGCTTGTAGGAACAGGTGGTTAATTAAAAGAAAATTAATCCTAATCTGTTCCATTCTACGAGGTGTTGACTTTTCAAGCTTTGTCAAAAAAAAATTAAAAAAATACAATGAGTCGCTGAGCAGCCAAATGTTACATAACTACATGAAATCAAAGCCTAGCTGACTTTATCATCAGCATCTAATAAAAACAACACTGATACAACACATTACTGCACATCATCACTACACAAACTCAAAAGGTTTCTCAATCTACTCTACACAGCCATACACTAAGTAGTCACAGCTCATGTGAGACAGGGGCGTAGCCAAAAAAATTTCAATGGGGTGGCCAGGATGACATAACACCTGAGTGAGGGGTGAAGTTTGCATTCAGATTAGTTGCATTTTTTTTTTCATTTGCAGTAAATATAAATAATGTGTGGCAGAGTATCAATGGGTCGAAGAATACCATACTTCATCCATGTGAAAATGGAAGAGAAATCACAAATATCAAAATTTTCTCTCAGGTTTGGCGATGGCCAAAAAGTGCCAATGCCGCCACGTAGCTCCGCCCCTGGTGTGAAATTTAAAAAAATGGAGAAAAAAACTGAATGAATGTAAAATAGATAAATGGCAAACATAAAATTCCCACAGGCACAAGATAACACCTGTCCCCTTTGTGGAAAGCTTTCTGGCCCAACGGTATTTCCCGCTCAATGAGTCATTTTTTCTTAATAACGTTTGCTTGGTATGAAAGCTGTACTCCTCAAAACACCCAAATCCGCAATAATCCCTTCATAATGATCAAATGACTGTTTATTTTCTTGAAATGAATGATTAACCGCAAAAAATTAATAAGGACGTCTTTAAGTTGCAAATATCTGGGTTTTATTTTGGAAAGGCTGACCATTCACCCATTCTGACCCACCATCAGTTTGCCGTGCGAAGGATTAGGATTCAAAATATCCGGTGACATTGGGTGATTTAATGCAGTGAAATGTAAATTTTACAGCCGAATCTGTACAATTGACTGAAGTGAAAAGAACGTTCCCACAATAGGGCTCGAGTAAAGAGGTACAATACTCACCAGTGTGGTCAACTGTAGCATGCAGAATCAAACAAAACCAAATGTTAAAACGCTACAAAATTTTGAGTGTGAGCTTCTGACTTTTTTCCCCCCGATGTAAATCATCATAACTGTACTCTTCTAGTTTGAGTAACACAGTAATATTAAAATAAAAATAGTGCTGTGTCTGAGGATGAGGGTGCATTTTCTTCTTTCAGTCTTGCATTATACTGTTCCTCAACAGCTGGTGATAGATAGCGTGTGCAAAACATTCCTAACCTTTTTTTCCATTGTGTACCCCTGAACCTCGTCATACCATGAGTACACCCCCACTCAAATGTGCTGATTCTCCAAAAGCAGAACGTATTAACTGATTATTAAATGAAAATCATTGTAATTGGTATGTGAACATTAATTCTGAGGCATTGTCGAATATTTAACTCAAACTAAACAGCATCTAAATATGTTGCCTTCAAATCAAACAAGTAATATAAATCCCCCCAAAAATCCATCCATCCAATTATCCGAACCGCTTATCCTCATGAAGGTCGTGGGCATGGAGTCTATTTCTGAATCAAAATAAAGAATAAACCTGCCTTTACTTTAAATAAAATTTACCACAAAAAATTGGAACTCCTTTGAATAACTCCCCTTTGAAATACGCATTCTTTTTTTAAACCTTCTTTTCATCAGTAATCTGAGTTTTAAAGAGTCACTTGATTTGTCAAGAGGCTGTTGTGAATTTGGCGTGGCTGCGCCACAGGTTATTGATCAAGGAAGAAATTGAATATTTCCACAAACCCCCTGCAATGTGCTCATATACGTGTCCCCCTGGTTAGGAAACAGTACCTGACCACTTCAAAATGTGTCCTTCATTTTCCAACATCTAACTCCATCGTGACGCCTTGCAACCTCGCGGCTGCAACTGTGTGTGTAGACGTGGCTGTATCACTTAAAACCCATAGGGAAATATTTTGTCCCGAATTGTAATTGTGTCCGCGCTTTACACCTATTTTTCATATCACAAACGAATGCGCATAATATGCCCGTCAGCATGACTTTGACAGCTGTTTGTCATGCCTCCCTGACGGACAGGAGCCCATAGAATGAATGTTGGCGGAAGCACGCGTCGATTGGACGGGGTTTGGTCGGTGACAGACTTGTAGTGTGACATCTCGCCCAGTCCGAGACACAGAATTACATTGATCTGGTAGACTGACAGTGTAACTGTCATGAACAACGAAAGCATTGCGTCGTTTGAGAAGGCCATTACTTACAAAGGGCGTGTTCGGAAATATGCCTGTTAACTGCACCGACATTCTGATGTGCTAGAGTGTACCGATCACTTTTTTAAAAGTGCATGATCACACCGATGTGTGATTTATCCATTTGTCTGTACAGTCTAATAATGTTTTTTTTTTTTGTGGGGGGGGGGGGGGGTTGTGCTCTCTAATGTCATTAGATGCTACCCAAATGCCTTGCTCTTTACAGGGCTCCATAAAAGCAGAGGAGTTGCTTGCGTTAGCCACCGTCTGATAGAGTGATAAAAGATTGCAGCAGAGGTCCGACAGGCACGCAAAACTCCTTGTGGGGTTGATGTTGGCGAAAGCAAGAATGGTAAACTCATGATGATACAGAAAAAACGGAATCGCTATTGGCAGTGGAAGTTCACACCTGATCAGTTTTTGTCAGCCAGTTGATCAACGTAAGTTACAGTAAGTGCCGAACTAAAGAAAGAGCCACGTGTGACATATTGAGAAAAAAAACTGTGTATCACCAAGTCAAACATGGAATAAATTGTTTGATCGGAAATTACTTTTACAGGCTCCGAAGCAGTCCCCTATATCCTAACGTTGTCGTACACTGGAGCATTTTTTAAAAATCAAATCATTTGTAAGACATTTATTTCTGAGGGCTAACGTTAGGTGTGGTAACGTTATTATGCCTCTCTCACAGTTCCGAGGCTCAAGGTCTTGACCCCAGACATCCTGTGAGGTGTTTGCATGTTTTCTCCAGGTACTCCAGCTTCCTCCCACATTACAAAAACATCCAGCCATCTATCCATCCATCCGTCCATCCATCCATCCATTTTCCGATCCGCTTTATCCTCACAAGGGTCGCGGGGGGTGCTGGAACCTATCCCAGCTGTCTTCGGGCAAAGGGGAGTGGGGGGGCACCCTGAACCGGTTGCCAGCCAAACACAGGGCACATAGAGACAAACAACCATCCACGCTCACACCACACCTAGGGACAATTTAGAGTGTTCAATCAGCTTGCCATGCATGTTTTTGGAATGTGGGAGGAAACCGGAGTACCCGGAGAAAACCCATGCAGGCACGAGGAGAACATGCAAACTCCACACAGGAAGGCCGGAGCCAGGATCGAACCTGCAACCTCTGCACTGTGAGGTCGACGAGCTCACCACTCGTCCACCGGGCCCCTCCAAAACCATCCATGCAGGTTGATTGAAGATTAGATTGTCCATAGGTGTGAATGTGAGCGTGGATGCAATTCGTGGGCAACTAGTCCAGGGTGTACACCACTTCTCCTTCAACATCAACTAGGATAGGCTTCAGCTCAACTGTGACTTTAATGAGGATGAGCTCTAGAAAAAAACATGGATGGATCGATGGTAATGTTTTTAGATGAGTTTAAAATTATATTCAAGTATTTTGGTATTGTAGATTGTGATAAATTTACGGTTGAAACCTACGACCTATCACTAGAGGCATTTCTTAAGATTTTTATGGGGGTCGTCCATTACTTGCACATTTTTGCATTGGGCCTCTGGGTTTGCTTTCTAACCTAGCAAATACAAGCTAAAGTTTACGGTGTGGTATGCTGATGAGTGTTAATACAAAACAAATCAAAAACAAATGCGCTCGGGGGTTAAACCCTCAATCTTGTTTGTTTCTTCCAATTAAACGGATTCTGTAGAATTCTGCTTTTCAATAGTCTGAGAGGAAAAACAAGATTGGATGCCTCTTGTACTATAGTTGGAAATATACTGCAAGGTTAGTTACAAGTTTACAGTCATGTCAGTTCAGAGGATGTACTGTGTGTAGTGAAGCCTATAAAAGAGCAGACTCCTCAGTTTCCTGAATAATGCCACAATTTTGTAAACATTACAACTGTTGTTTGTGTCAATCATATTTATCAATTTTGTGTGGCATGGTATCGAGTTGTACTAAATTATGTGGCTTTCTAATTTAACAATTGTGTATTTTACTAAAATGATGTGAAAAGGATCCGTCACTTCTTCTAATTTGGCTATGCCGAGACTTTGTTGTTCATATGGCTCTTATCTTGAGATTTCAATATTAGATATGGATGTCTTACTTGGATTGGGCTGCAGCAAGACCACTGCTTGCCTGTAGATTTTCTCAGTCCAGTTTTTGGTGCAGTCTGCGTGAATCATTAGGTTTTCATCGTGAGCATCCAACTCGGTTTTCTCCGCCTGACCCAGCTTCTCGCCTGTAAACTGAAGCAGCAGACAACACAATTTTTTCCATACCTATGTACATGATTTGCATCTTCAAATCACAAATTTTTGATATTTATAAAATATACAGGTAGCATACGTCATTCTTCTGTCAGACTGTCAACATCAACATTTCTGCATCAATACAGTATAAGCAGGCTAAAAACAATGCTAACTTGAAAAACAATTTAAGGCCAAACGTGAACCAACAACGCATGACGTAGTTTGTTTTTCTCTTCAATATGTCAATTTGCGGTAGCGTTAGCCATCTCCCACAGCGGCATTAGACCGGGACTGTAGGTTCGAAACATATGGTAGAATTCAGCGTCGGTGTACAACTGTGCTATGCACGAGCTTGATATGGGGGCATTTCATACCTGCACAGCTCGTGAAAAAAGCAATCCAGCCCCCGTAGCAAGCTTTTTAACGCTGAAATCCATCGCGTCCTGAAATCCGACCAAGGCTCGAGAGGAGGGGTGTGTTCCATACCGGGCAGGAGACGTCACGGCTTGGAACCGCTGCGAGTCCTACGTCACGTAAACAACACTCATTTTCATTTTTTTTCTTCATAGGACACATTTAAAACAATGTTCTTGGTTAGGGATGCGAAACAGAAAACTCACTTTTCTCTTAAGGTTTGCAACTTATTTGCTGCATATATTAAAAATTTGAAACTAATTTTTGAACAGGATGTTGAACTTGTGTATTCGTTGCATCTTGAAAACTATTAATACGTGTTTATTTTTGTGGCCATCAGTAAAATGGCCAGAGGAGCGTTATGGCTGTTTTAATGGCTTTTGGGGGGGGGGGGGTTGTTTTTTTTGTTTTTTAATTAATGGAGTGGTGCATACACCGGAAAGCAAGGTGGCGCTAATCAACCTGCACGCCAGCATCTTTAACGCCCGGAAGAGCCTTGCAACGTGAGTTTATCCTAAATCCATTTATATTCCTTTTATAAGCCTGTCGATTGTCGTCCACTTGTGTAGCATATAGCGTGGTCAACGCTGTCGGATAGAGTAATATACTACTGGGATTGCAGTCAAGTCAAGCTAACTTTAGCTTTCAAGCTAGCTAGCGATTTATGAGATTAGTTCGCCAGATGATGCCTTTTTTATGTGCCTTTCTTTTTGAAACGCATGATAATAAAGTTTACATAAAACCGCTTTCCAGCTTTTGGATCAGCGCCATAACGTTATGCGGAAAAGTTGGGCATGGCTTGGAAGTCACGAACCCGCAGTTTGCAAGTGTTTGACACAGAGTTGAGTGCTGACACCGTGGAATGGTGCCCTGTCTCGAACTCCCACCGATTCCTGGCCTGCGGGACTTACCAGCTCCAAAAAGGGGTGAGTGTCAATGCCCTTTAGTGGTATTGGTTTGATTCCAGTCGAGCAAATCCTCATCCATTCTTTTGGTTTTGAAAGTTGCAAATGATAAATGTTGGGTAGTCAGCAGAAACGATTCAAATTCTCTTTTTTTGACTGGACTAAGTTTGATGTAGCTGACGCCACAAGTGGTACCGGCACTTCCACTCACCATTTAAATGGAAGAAAAACAATGGCCATGATGTCGTCTATTTCCTTTCGACTTGAGTCTATTCCAGGGCGACCACTGACCACTGCGAGTCATCAAGATGTGTCCTCTGCATCCTCTGCTCTTACTTCAACTCTGTGCAAGTCTTCTATCACCACAACCACCAATCTCCTCTTTGGTCTTCCTTTTTACCTCCCACCCGGTCGCTCTACTTCCAGCAATCATCTACATATCCCTGCTCCTCCGCACATTCTCCAAATCATCTCAATCTGACCTCTCTAGCTTTGTTTAGAACACTTTCAGTCTGTGCGGCCTCTCTGATGAGCTATTCATCCTGATCCTGTTCATCCTCCTCACTCCCAAAGCAAATTTTAACATCTTTAACTCTGCCTCTAGCTCTGTCTTCTGTCTTTGAGTCAAACCTTTTTTTTTTTACAACCCTCATTGAACTTTGGACAAATCTCACAAAATACTACCAAACAAAATGTCACCTAAAATATGAATAATGAAATAATACTGTTCTTGTTTTAAGTCAATTACTCTCTGAAATGTCTGTTTAGTTGAACATGAACCTGATCTTGTTCTATTGCTTTTATGGCAACGGGTGCACACAGGGGAATTACTTTTTGCCATGTTGTGGAACAGCATTATTTGTTCTGCCTGTCAATAGACATCATCGGCATATAGAGTATAGATGACAAAAAAATAAATGATTTGAACTAAAGAATTTTTTTGGGACCGATTTTGTGACATTTTAATATTTTAATTTGATAAAATGAGTATTCCGTGAGCTATCATTAATTAGTGTGCCATGAGAGATTACCAGATGTGCCGTGGTTTGGGAATGACCGTTGCAGTCATTGCTAAAAAACAGACAGCATGTCTGTTTTCTCACTTCCGGCCTTTCACTTCAGCAACAATGGAGATGTTTGGACCATTGACTAATTGAATAATTCAGTCATTTGTATTATTAGCTAAAGTCATTTGTTTCTGATCAGCTAAAACATTCTTAGTCCTGACTGACTAGCATAAGCAGTGTATTGCATTTTTCTGAACATTGATGAACATTTGCACTTTTATATTGCTGCTGTAGAAAGGGGAAGAAGATGGCGCCCCAAGCCGGACTGGTCGTTTGTACCTTTTTGAATATCAGCGAGAGGCTTTGGGTCCTCCTCTCACAGAGCTACAGCGTATAGACACACCTGCCATTTTAGATTTGAAATGGTAAGAACCTGAAAGACTTTCATTAATAAATAGCAGCCTGTCGTTGACAATGATTTTGTATCTTCTCTTTAAGGGGCTATTTTTCTTCCCCTTAATATTGTGATTTGCAATTTAATGTGTGATTATTTTTTCGAGGTCCTCTTGCCAAGATTTTTTTTTTTCTTTTATAAATTTATGAAGCAATCCTTATCTCCTCAGGTGTCATGTGCCTGTGTCAGAAAAAGTTGTTCTGGGACTGGCTGCTGCCACTGGAGAACTGCAGCTGTATGTACTTGCAGCCTGCCAGGTGAGAAATGTGCCACTTGAGGAATCAAGTTTCTGCATCCACAACGTCGTGGTGGTCTAATATGACAGACTGTCAATGAACACAATTCTAGATGATTTTGATGCGGGATACAAAATCATTTGAAACATGCTGTCGATTTCCTTTTCCATTTCTCTGGGCTTTTTTTTTTTTTTTAAACTCTGATTACGTGGTTGGTTATCAACACTCATAAGTAGGAAGGCAGCAGCAATCTGCAGACTCTGTGCTACGCGGAACTGGGGGCAGACCAGCTGGCTCTGTCTTTAGATTGGTCCACTGGAAGAATGGACAGGTAAGAGACTCTGTCTCCTGCACAGCCAGCTTCACTTTCCTGAATATAACGGGTTACTTTTTCTCGCCCTTGTTTCATTTGAGTAGCAGTGATGTGCGGGTGGTGTGCAGCGACTCTGCGGGTTGTGTCAGTGTGCTGTCTTTGGCTGAAGGTGCTCTGGTGACTTTGTCACAGTGGAAGGCCCACGACTTTGAGGCTTGGATCTCAGCCTTCTCCTACTGGGACACGCAGTTGGTTTACTCAGGTAATGACACCCTTTTCTGAAATTGTCTCTCTCATGGTTGCACACATATAACAGTACTTGCAATTTAGTTGTCCCCCCCGCTCCCCTACTCGCATGTCTTGCTTCAGAACACAATTACTATCCCCTACTGGTAGCCATTGCACCACCAATGACTAGAAATGTTGCAGTTGTTTCAGTCTTGGGTTTTTTTTTGTTTTGTTTTGTTTTGTTTTGTTTTTTGTAAATCGGAGATGAAAGTCCTCCGGATTTTCCCGGAATTCCGGGTTTTTCAAAATTTTATGAAAAGTTCCCCGGAGAATTGAGGAAAATTTGCATAAAATTAATCCGGATATTAGTTGACAACATTGAACGAAGACGCGTTTGAGTTCGTTGTATTGCTTTCACGAGCGTAGCCATATTGAGGCACTAACACTAGTAACAGTAAAGAGATTTTTGTTTGTGTAATAACGACAGAAGACATGACGGCGTTTGACTTAATGGTTTAGTAGAACGAATGGCAACTCGCAACAACAGTAGCAAGCGTCATTTTGCCTCTTGGGTTATACCATCTCAATTAGAACGTGGGGGATAGTCCCCAAACAATTTTCGTCTCTTTATAAACACA